ATAAACACAAAGACAGAAAATAACAAGTGTTATGAGATGTGGAGAAACTGGAATGCTTCTACACTTCTGGTAGCAGTGGACGATAGTGCGGCCACTCCAAAGTGTTTCTAGAGCCACACAGATTAATCAGGAGTTTGATGAAGAAGGAAAACTCTTCATTAGTCATGTGGTTTCCCACGTTGTGGATCAACCCCAGAAAACCAGCTTCTGTGCCTGCTGCCAGATACCTGATTACTATAGATCGATAAACTGGAGAGGGAAAGGAGTCATGTCTGAGTTGTAATAGCTGATGTTTCTTGAACATTTACTTTATGCTTCACACTGTGACATTTGCTCTATACGAATCATCACGTGTAATCATCACAACTCTGAGTGGACATTATTGTCCTCATTTTACAGATGGAAAAACTGAGACTTGGGGAAGTTGTCTACTAGGCACATGGACGGGACAGTACCCTGATCAAATTGGGGAGCATCAGAGAAGTTCAGAACTGGACCTAAATGAGACAAAAGGGTTTATTTGACTTTAGAATTAGCTTTTCATACTACATGTAGGATAATTTTTTTTTTTTTAAGTTGACCGGTAAGGGGATCTTAACCCTTGACTTGCTGTTGTCAGCACCACGCTCAGCCAGTGANCATAAAGAATTTTATGTAAAAGACATTTATTTTTGGCCAACTAGCCAAATAATTCATCAAATAGCATTTATTATTGGTAAAACTGTTGATAACAAAGTAGTTGAGCACTAAATGGTGCGATTGTTATCTTAGAGCTTTTATAGTTCAAAAGTACAAACAATAGAATTCAAGCTTCATAGAACAGAATCTGCTGTTCTGATCAGTTGTCTGGATGTTTTGAATCAGAAAATCATTTCTGCAGAAGAAAGGAAAGAGAAACTTCTCATCCATTATTGAAAAGTAAGGCTTCTATTTATGCCCTTTATACTTCTTGGCCTTCTAAAAATTATTATTGTTCCAGGCATTGCATTTGTACTCCTTTTCCACAAGAGAATAAAAATAAAACAAGATTGTGGTATTAAGATAATCAATAAAAAGAAAAGAAAAAGATGGAATCCTGTAGTATGATATTTTCTGTGATGGCTAAAGAGAAATATCTAGAAAACAACATATCCCAGCAAGTGAAAAAAACAAACAAACAAAAAAACACTTTTTCCTTATCAGTACATGAAAGAATAAATACTGCTTATTAAGAAAAGCTATTAAATTTTATAAATAGTAAACAGTCCTTTCAGTCTGGAAATCCGGAAGATGAGAAAGTGAGGCTAAAAGACATCGTGCAATTAGTGCAGTCAGCAACAGGTCAAGGGCTTAATACCTGTCAGAGCCAGTCCTTGGGCCGAGGTCCTCTGATTCCCTGGCTATTGCTTCTCTACAGCTGCTTTGCTGATTTACAGTCTTGTATTACCAAACCCCAGAACACCCCAAATCAGGTTTCTTGATGGTAGAGTCTAA